GAGCTGCTCTCTAGCCAGGTGGATCCCAGTCTGAGCTGCACTCCTGGATTATGTTTTCCCAGGTGCAAGACCTTACACTTGTCTTTGTTAAACTTCATAAGGTTCTTGTTAGCCCACTCTTCCAGCCTATCCAGATCTTCCTGCAGGGTGGCTCTCCCTTCCAGAGTGTCTACCTCCCCACTCAATTTGGTGTCATCTGCAAACTTCATCAGTGTACACTTGATCCCGTTATCCAGCTCACCTATGAAGATATTGAATTTGTGGCAATAAAGTCAGTGGTCAATGATTTTCATGGCATCTGTCCCTGGAGTTCTGTCTTCCTTTAAGTTCATTTAAAAAGCAAGCTGAGGTCTAAGCTGCTGCTTGACTTTTCAACTTGCTGTGTCTGTCTTGCAGTTGGTGAGCAGGAGGAAGCCCCATCCAACCCCCAAGCACCAGCTGGATGTGGCATGCTGTTGGCTGGGCCCACCTTGTGCTGCCAGTGCTACAAGAGTGCAGAGTCTTTGGGGCGGTCTTGGTGGTGACTGCAGCATATGTGACAGACTGTCCTCCTTGTCCTGACAGTAGTACTTCAGCCATATGATCGTGAGGTGAGGTTGGGAAGGAGGACCAGCATGGAACGTAGAACTTAGCTGTACAATCTGTACTGTTGTCACTATGTTAACACAGCCTGTGGACGTGGGGAGCTTAGATACTGAGTCGGTCTTCGACGTGACTCCATTTGTGTAAATCTGTGGACCTTTGCAGAGGTGGAATATAGCCCTTGGTAGTAGAAAGGGAAATGATATGTAACATCTCAGAGCCATCTTTCTGGCTAGCGAGGCAGCGGTGGCAAGGCTGACGGGAGTCCTGTCCCCTGCCCACAAGAGGAGGTGGAGGAGGTGGCAGGCAGCATCGAGACGTGGGAAGCGGGGGGAACGGCTTCTGTGGCTTCATGGGCATCAGGCTGCAGGAAGGAAATTGGAGTGAAAGTCGTGCAAATGCTTTCAGGCTTGGAAGCGCTGGGCTCGGAAGGGCTGAGCTGGGTATCGGACGTATCAGCTCTGTGAGGGTTTTAACAAATTTTGGAAGCACACAGAACTGTGGCAATGATAAGACATCAAAGAAAAACCAGCAGGCTGTGTGTTTTAGGGCTGCCAGATTAAAGCCTCTGAGTATCGCACAAAGTAGCCATAGCTCCTCCTTGAGAGTTAGCAAGTGACGTTATCAAGGAGTGAAGCAAACAGCCTTTCAGCAAGGGATAATTTGCCCTACTAACTTAATGCATGAATTAGAAAAACAAGCTACGCTGTGTCAATGCCAGACCATTTGAGGAGAATTTCACAAATGTAGAACTCGTGTTTTGCTGCAAGGAAAATACATTTTTAAGTTGTGTGAGAACTGAAATAAGAAAAGTCTCCCAAAAGTCTCCACTTGAGAGGGCATCTTAACTACTTGGGTTAAAAATTAATGACCAGGATAATGTAGTGGTGGCCAAGTCTGCCATTCTGGGTTGTAGCTGGGGAGCAGCCAAAGAGGTGCAGGAGCTCTGTGGGGTGGAGCTCTTGGAGTGAAGAAAAATTGCAAGGCTTTCCTATGTTTTTAGGATTGCCAGCAACTGTCAGAAACATAGGGAAATTCTTTCTCTCCCACATCTCTTCCAACTCTAATCACTGAGGAGAGAGGAGTACGTGTGGTTAAATGCACCATGACTATCTGTGGGAAATGGGAAGGAGAAGGCTCATGGGAGTAATTATTTTTCTTCCTCGTCCTGCAGGATTTGATTCCAAAGTGGTTGGTATAGTCGCCTGGAGAAGGGGCTGTGGGTTTCCTTTGGAGGGTGTGGAAGGGAAGCAGTGGTTTCATTCAGTGTCTGTCTGGTATCTGGTAGGTGAAATGGAAGTTGAAAGGTCCCTTGTAAATCTTCTACAAACAGATTTTGCAGCTTGTGTGAATGCTGTTTGTTTCATCTACTTCTGGTTTCTTACCTTCAGGTTTTTCTCTCTAACTTTGCAAACTCCTTGACGTGAGCCTAATAAAAAGACAAGTGAATTGAACAGAGTCCCAGACTTCATTTCAGCTCCAAATCAGTCCCCTTCCTCCTATGTAAAAGAGCAGTCTCAGTAAAGGATTTAAAGTGTTAATCCAGAAGATCTGTAATTTGTCATACATATTACTGCAGGGTTTCTTGCACCTCATCTTCTCTGCTGTTTATGATACTAGAATATTTGTGTGTCATGGAAGAACCCCGTCAGAGCATGGTCTTGTTGGTGTTATACTTACCTGCTTTTGTTCCCATGTGTTTCCCCTCACTTTCCTTGCTTTTCTCCTTCTCCACTCATTTACTCTGCTGCAATGGACGTTCATGTCTCGCCAGTGAACAGCAGCCTCCCGCTGGGTGCTATCTGACCCCGCTCTGCCGTAGTGGTGGCTGCTCTCCCCTTTCTTCTTCCTGCTTTCACAAATCGCTGGTCAGCTGTTTGCAGGAAAGCAAAGTGAAGCCTGAAGGTTATAGACTGAGGAGACGGTTTCCCTGCAGCCCGGTAGTGTGTGCTCTGTGACCCCGCATTCGCAGGAGTCTGTACGGTCACACCAGTACGTAGAAATCAACAGTCATCTTCTGTAGGCTATTCTGGATGAATTTCAATCAATTTTAAGTCAAGCCAGAGGATATCATTTTCTGGTTGGAGGATTCTTGTTACAATTTGTAATACATAAATCTGTAAAGCAATTTACATTTTCCTG